CCTGTTGGTGATTGTGGTTCTGTCCTGCTAAGATATCACCACCATTACCAGGATAATCACTGTTAAAAAAAAAGAAAAATCACTGTAATGCCACTTTAATTGGCGATATGTGACTCATCTGTGCTGCTGATTATCCATGCTGATTATCTCATGCTGCTGATTATCTCATGCTGGATTCATTCGTGCCCATCTGCCCACCACGGAGATGTTTGGGCTGCTGTTGTTATGCCGTATTGTTTTACATTTTTGGTGTTTAGCGTCTATGTTATTGTATATTCATTCATTCAGCCTTTATTTATACAGATAAGTCACACTGAGCCTCGAGGACTCATTTACAAGTAAGACCTGTTTAGACAGACAAAAAGTAATGAAAGTGACATTATGTATTGGATTTGGAGGCAAAAAAAAAAAAAATCCTAACAGACTCTCATTCCATGGCCGAGCAATGATAGCCTGAAATTGAAAAAAACACCCCGCACATAAGCACATAGTGACGCAGACATTCCGCATGGGAGGGGAAACGACAATATCTTAGATTCTTATATACTGTTTCTTTTCATACTTTATATTTGGCTATTTTTGAGTGTAAATGGGACCCTGAGTACATAATTTTGTTACACGTTATGTACCACATGTGATGGGAATGACAATAAAGTTGACTTGAACTTGAACTAAATGCTGTGAACACTTGGATCCAGACACTACACAAAGCGTCCATGTTTAATACCGTTAGCATGTTGTTCAAAAAGGCAAATTTCTTTTTGTATCTCGCTGCAGGGAATGACACACAACAAGTTTAGATGCCGCTAAATGTCAGCGCCTCTGTGCCGAGGCCGAGCTGAGTTCAGCCATTAAGACGTCAGTGACTCATTAACGTCCGCTCCTGTTGCTTCCTGGACACGTTGAACTCCGCTCCTATTAACACACCTTTCATTAACTTTGCTTCGCAGCTCCTTTCATCTGAAAGCTGGACTCGTGACATGAAAAGTGCTTTTCAAAAAGAGTTCCTCTTATTTTATTCTAAATTAAAATATGCCATCAACAATTCATGCGGCGAGAGTGGAGATGTGGAAATTTCATTTAACAGAACTGACCTTTGTAGTTGGACCACGACGGTTCCTAATTCACACTAATTCTTTCCCCTGAACAGACTCTCTGCAGTCATTTAATGGTCAGGGACCAGTTATCAGGTACAGTTATACTATCTTTCTCAGGCTAATTGAATTTGAAGGTGTGTTGCTGGCTGCACATGCCACAGAAAGGCTAAGCTTCTGTGATAAAAATTATCCCAGCTCAGCATAACTGTAGATGTTCTGGGACCAAAGGCGCATGGGCTCTAATGTTTGTTTCATCGTGCATAAAACTCGCTGCCATCCACACCTGCGACTGTAACGTTTTGTGAACAGTGCCAAAAAAACAGCGTGAACATGTGAGGAGCGGTGATGAGGGAGATGCTTTAATGTCGAGCTCGTGTAGAGAAAATTAAATCTTGAATTTTTGATGCTTCTCCAGCTACATAAGAAGCCGCCAAAGCGCTCAGACTGTGCAGCAGATGGCTCACCCAACATTAAGTGTAAGGAGGTGACAGTGTAAATCCTGTGCCCACGGCTGCACAACATGGAAATTGCATTCTGATCCAGTCCACTCCTGTGTGTATTAGTGTTATGCAACACAGTATTGTGTCTGGCATTTGCATTAGGACCATGAAATGCAGCCCACTGGCTTTCTGTATGTGGCACGATGAGACAACAGTAGGAGTTCTGCTTTATCTGCTGCCTCGTTGCGGCAACATCACACTTAAAGCCATTCCACTGGATTCTTATTGAAAGGCATCAAAAGAAAGTTGCGTGTGTGGCTACAAAAGAAACTATTTACTTTCTTTTGGTGACATGAAGTGACTTCGGGAAGGAGAGCACAGAAAATTGCATCAGCTGCGACGACTGTGACACGGCATTCTGACAAATACGTCGTACAATCGCTGACTCTGAGGCAAAGGGCGCTTTTTACAAGGTGGGCTAACGTGCCTGCTATTGTGTGGCTGTGTGACGCGATCCTGTGTGTATCCATCATTATGAGCGGTGAATCAACCAAGGCCTCCTGGGAGCGAAGCCTTGTATGGGGAGGGATGAACAAATAATAATGGAGACATCATGAGGGCAGGAGATAGGCTTTCCATTTCAAACAGGAAGATAGTGAGAATTTGTAGCGTCCTATCAGGACAAGCTCGAAGCTATTGATTAGTCCCCAGCATGTGTTTTAAAAGACAGCTTTAATTGCTCGTGTCAAAGGAAACAGACACCAGAGCTAAAAAAAAACAAAAACCTTTATGCATCTAAAAAAAGATTGCTCTTCCATTTTAATAAAACCTAAAAAGAAAGGATTCACCTGGGACCAGCCGTCATTCAGCTTTGCATCTTTGTGATGATGGATTAATCTTTGACGTGTTCTGATCACATCCAGTCAGTTTCATCGTCCAAAACACATTAAATAAAATCAACAGGCCTCATTACTTTCATTAGATCAACATCAAAAGGTTCTTTTTTTTAAAGTTCTTTTAAAAGTTTGATGTTTTTTTTTTTTCCTTTATTAGTCACAGATACATGTTGACTGTCTCTTTAAAACTCTTTCTTTAGACTAGGGGTCCCCAAATGGTGGATGGTGGTCCTGGTCCAACTGAAGTCTTATCTGGACCAGTAGAACACATTCAAACTTGTTTTCATGTTTGTGGTACTTATGGCATCAAAACTTTATCCACATTCATTGTTGATTGTTTTGGGCGAAGCAGCTGTTTTAAGTATTTACTTGAATTCCTTTTAGGCTGTGCAGCTTTTCTGCTATTTACAGAAGATGATTTTAGGCTGAACAGCTTTTTTTTTTCCAACAATTACGGGAATTCATTTTAGATGGGGCAACTTTAGCATTAACAATAATTCCTGGCATTCAGTTTCTTGTACCTAAAATCTGTTATGCTGTTTCTTTTTACACTTTATATTTTTGCTATTTTGGGGTATAACTGGTACCTTGGGTACATAATTTTATTTCACCTCATGCAGCACATGTGATGTGAATGACAATAAACAACATGAACTTGATAAAATCCATCCATCCATCCATCCATCCATCCATCCATCCATCCATCCATTATCTTCCGCTTGTTCCTAAGCCGTGTTGTGGGAGCAGCAGATTGAGCAGAGAGGCCCAGACATCTCTTTCCACAGCCACCTCTTCCAGCTTTTCTGGGAGGACTCCAAGGTGTTCCCAGATAAACCAAGAGACGTAGTCTCTCCAGCGTGTCCTGGGTCTTCTTCGGGGTCTCCTCCCAGTCAGACATGCCTGAAGCACCTCCCTAGGGAGGCACCCAGGGAGCATCCTTACCAGATTCTTGAACCACCTCAACTGGCTCCTCTCGATGTGGAGGAGCAGCAGTTCTACTCCGAGTCTCTCGTGATAACTGAACTCCTCACCCTATCTCTAAGGGAGAGTCCAGCTACCCTGCGGAGGAAACTCATTTCAACTGCCTGTATCCACAGTGTCATTCTATTGGTCACTACCCAGAGTTCGTGACCATAGGTGAGGGTGGGAACGTAGACTGACCAGTAAACAGAGAGCTTTGCCTTACAGCTCAGTTCCCTCTTCACCCAACAGACCGGCACAGAGTCCACAGTACTGAAGATGCTGCACCAATCCGTCTGTCAGTCTGCACTCCATCAATACACCTCTCAATAAAAGATTTATTTATTATCAACCAATCACACAGGGTTCAACATTTTCTACAGTTTTTGTTGATTTGCTTTGTTTTGGTTTTTTGAATGTCCAGAGGACCAGATTTAACTTTTTTAGATTTTTCTACCTGGATTATTGAGCATGCGTCAGGATATTATCAACCTTTATTTCATCGGGAAAAAAATCTCACTGAGATCTCAGATCTTTTTTGCAAGTGAGGCCTGAGCCTAAAGGCAGCCTAACATGCATGATTTTAGACTGCGGGAAGAAAACTGGAGTACCAAGAGAATAGCCACACAAATAAGAGAACAAGCAAACTCCACACAGAAAGACTCCAGGTTCAAACTGAGGATTGAATCCAGAACTTTATTACTGTGTAGCAACAGTGCTAATCACTAATCCATTGTGCTGCCCACTATAGACAGACAAGAACGTAATGCAGTATCTGCAGAATAGGTGGGACTGAATGTTATATTGGATTTTATTTGCAGTGTCTTTGATGTTTTTTTAATAAAAACCATAAGTTTTCAGCTGCGGAGGAGCCGGGAACAGAGTGCACTGAGGAACATGAACAATCTGCATCGAGTTGGGCCTCTGTGTCTCCCTTATTAGTCAGCTAAAGTGACATTTGTAGACGAACTTTTCCATGTTTTCCACTGCAGCATTTCTGAGCAAAGCTGGAAATTTATATTTTTTTATTGCGTGCTTTTGGCGGAAAGTTCAGAATATATTAGGGTTTGTCGTGCTCTTAAAAATGCATTTGGGTTGACTGTCAAATCCAAGTCAATTTGAGCTTCTTTTGAACAGTTACTAGAGCACACATTAAAAATGCAGCAGTGACAGCAGCTGCAGAGTGACCACAACAGTGTTGCATTCATGCAGAGCCAAGACATGCGGAACAATGGTCCCACGCTGAAATAAGTGTCCAGAAATAGTATTTGGATGTGTTTTTTGACAGAAAGTTTGAAGCCAGGAAAAAGCTGTGTCAAACTGTTTAAAAGAGATTTTCCTTTTCCAACACTTGTTTTGTAGGATACATTTCTGCATTAACGCTTGGCATGTTTTTGAAGCCGTTTATGGGTCTGGAATTTACAACAATAAGTTTTCCTGTCATAAAAACCTCACAGACATGTTGTTTTAAGAGAATGGTGTTGCATTAATCAAATCTTTTTTGACAGTTTCTCTTTGTGTTGCTTTCCCCCCAAAAAAATAACCTGACACCATCAATTACTCCAGGGTGAACCCGCCTGACACTCGTTTCTCCTTCTTGTCTGCAGAGAAGCCAATGGCGCAGGGCCCTCCAGGTGGTGTTATCGGGATCCTTGGAGGTGTTGTTGCCATTGGACTCATCATCGGTGTGGCTGTTACTGTTTTTATGGTCCATCGGCGACAGCAGAAGACTCGCACCGAGACAGATAATGACCTGTGAGTACCCAGCTTGCGTCGGGGAATGTTGCAAAGGGTTGGACAGGCTGCAAGATTAGGTGTGCACTCTTGTCAGTCCACAGGAGAAAACCACTTTGATAAGAATGGCACACTTTTTGTGTCTGGAGACAGAAAGGAATGCTTCATACATGACTCTTGCCTCATTCTCATGCATTCTGGGAGTGAATAATTTCCGTTTGCATCCTTCACTGAAACATAATACAATTGCACCTAAAGTAGAATAAAGCAAAGCAAAAGCAGCTTCATTTTCAAGAGCAGATAAAATTAATGATTATGGCTGACAAGAAGCTTCCTGATTGTAATGTGGGCTGATCTGTGCCTGAAACACTGTGGTTTTAATCAGGATTGATTGCAGGAAAAAGAGCCACAGTCTCTTCTTGGGAGAGGTTCACCTGCACCGGATGGTTATACCGTCATGAAGTGAAATAGATTTTTCAGTATTCTCAAGCACGCTGCAGGTTCAGAGGTTGTGTTGCTTCTAAATGTTATTTTGAGGCTCATCAGAGAGCTTTGCACATTTATTTAATTTGAAACTATGAAGAGTCTGTAGGAGGTTTGATGGCTGGATTTGGAGGCGAGGACTCCTACAATCCATGCAGTTTAGCATTACCGGTGATGCATACTGATTCAAATATTGATCTGCTGTTGTCTACATCCTGCAAAGCAGTGTAACAGTTTAGTTATGTTTCAAACAAAAGAACAGAAAGATTCCTTTTGTTACATTACTTCAGTAAAACTTTTGTTGAAGGCAACTTTAAGGACCTTTTAACACTGATTTTGTTTACTTCTGCAACTCCACCTCCAGCCAGCTAAGTGATTTTGTTGTGCCTGCAAACCAGAGGCCATGGCAGTTTTAACATTGCCAGCTGCTGCCCACACTCAGAGGGGAGAACCAACCACGGGGAGCACAACAAGAAGCAACTGAGCTGTAAAACAAATCAAATTAACTTTTTTTTGTTGTCACAACTTTAGGAACATCTAACAGAAATAAAGATGAAACGTAGCAGCAGTTCCTCTTTTTTTTAACACATAGCAACAACAAATAGCCCAGTGGTTGCTAAGGTTTCCATGATGCACTTGAATATTCTCAAGATGCAAGCCCCATTCCCTTGGAAATTATCCTTCTGTGGGCAGGGTCGTGGTAAATTACCCAAACAACCAGATTAGGGTGCTACAGAATCCATCTAAGGGTGCACAAGAGCCTTTATCAACTGAAGATTGAAGTGAATACATTAAAAACCTTCCCCTGCTGCTCTGTCAGTATTGGTCTCCACCAGCTGCATGGTTTTGGAAGTTGCAGAACCAACGGTGAGTCCCAGAAACCCCTCAGTGTTTTTTTTTTTTCAAGAAAGATGAATCACACAGACTCTTACAACCCTCATTGCTTTCTGTCTCTTTCGCCCTCCTTGCTAATCTATCTTTCTTTCTCTCTCTGATGCCAAAGTAACTGCTCTTTGTCTCCCACTCCATTCCTTCAGCATTGCTGTTGCTGCTGTTGCTGATAGTTGTGTGACACAGGCTCCAGAGAAGCCAGAGTCCCTCACAAGGAAAGTAGAGGCACCTGACCCCAGTCTGTCCCCTGCTGATCCCTGTCCTCCTGGATCCTCTATTCTGTTGCCCGCATGTAACGGTGGCCTGCAAGTGACATATTTAAGCACTCCGCTGTGAGCGCTGCAAGCAGCCGACTTCCGTTCATTGTCAGCTAGAAACACTGGACTTTAAGTCTAAAGTGCACATAATTCAAAATAAAAGTTGGCGTTTGATCATATTTTACAACAGAGACTTTTAATTTGAAATTGATGCTTTGGTGCATGACAAACCAGCCAGCTCCGCAAAATAACAGCAATGCATTTTGAAAAACATTTAAGTGAGAAAAGAGGCTGGATGAAAACATGTCTATAATTAATTACGTTTTATCAAAATGATAGGGATGAAGCGTCCAGCCCAATCTAAACAGATTTAAGTGTTTTGGACAGAACAGACAAGCAATACCAGTTAAAATGTGAAATGCATATCGTTTTTGTTTTGTTTTTTGTTAGGAGTGAGTCGTTACCACTAGAGATGCTTCGTGTCGCATAAAGTGATGCTCTGCAATAACCTCTTTGTGAAAAGACCCAGTTGTCCAACCCCCTCTTCCACCTCTTGCTCTTTTCTCTCCTTTTGTGTGCATGATTCTCATCAAATATGCATGACAAGAGTTGTTGTGTCAGTACTGCAACTGTTGGTGTTTCCCACTAGTTCGGCATGAAATGCTTATTGTCGTGAAATGTAATTCAAAGCTCTCCATGTCTATTTTCTGTGGCTTTGTCATCAAACTTGTTCAATGTCTTATTATTAGGAAACTGTACATTTACATTGAAATATCAGAAAATATGAACTGCGTTAAGTTGCCATAGGAAAATGTGTTGAGTTTATTATAGGAAGATTCATAGTTTTATATGAGTGTGTAACATCAGGGTGAAAGGGGATGCGTTCAGCCAGACTGTTTAATTCTGCATGTTGATGAGCTGTTAATCAAGCTTGGGCATTTGATAACATGCCTGACTGCACCGCCAGTCACGCCTCTGTTTGCCCTCACAAAGCAGCACATGATGTGACTCAAAATTGGTCAATCCTAATAAATCACCGGCCCCCTTTTAGCGGCTGCACTGGCACAATAGTCAACTGATTATCGAAATAGATGGGCATTGTCAAAAAAGATGTTCTCAGAATAATATGTTCATCGCTCTGTGTTTTTGCCCGAGCATGAAGTATGACCTCCAGAATGTTGAAATGCTCTGCCAGTTGTGGCAATGTTAAAAAAAAAAAAGAGTTCCTGATAAGCAGCTGGTGTTTCCACAGTTGATGGTTGTTGCTGGTTTGAATAAATTTGATGCCAACTTCTTGGACAACTTTTTAAATCAGATCTATTTCTTTGCACTCTTTGGTTAGAGAAAGAAAAGCACAAAGCTCACTGAAATAACTTGAAACTAACAAAAGTAATTAAAACAATATGTTTGAGTTATGGTTCAACAAAATCATTGAAATAGAAAACAAATTGTGAAACTGGCCTTTACAAAAAGCAGTGGTGGGTACGACTACCCATAAAACTAGCTTCGCTAAGCCATATTCTGCTAACTATAAAAACTAGCTTTGCTAAACAGGTAAAAGGATTACTGGAAGCTAACGCTAAACCGCTAAGACAACTGTCACTCAGTCTACGCCACATGTCTTCAGGCCTTTCCAGTTGAAGCTACGTTGACCAATCACATCTTGTTACATGTACATGTAGTAAGCCAATAGCGTGCCTGACAGACTCTTCAAGACACGCCCACAATAGACAGGAAGACAGATTTAAAGTTGCAAAACCAAATTTAGCAGAAGCTAATTCCACTAACGATCTCCAAAGTAAGTGAAAATGTTAATCCAGTGAATGAAAAAATAATTACGTTGTTAGCAGAAATGTGCCCACCAATGACAAAAAGGATGTTACTCTTAATATTTTGTTGCTCAACCTTTTGAGCCAGCCATCCATCCATCCATCCATCCATTATCTTTACTCGCTTCTTCCTTTTAGGGTCTCGGGGGTCACGGGTGTCCATGTCCAGCAGTCACTGTGCGAGAGGCAGAGTACACTTTGGACAGATCACACTCCATCACAGGGACGCATAGAGACAAACGAGAATAACAACTCTCACTCACACCTAGGGACAGTTTAGAGTTATCAATCAGCCTAGCATGCATGTTTTTGGTATGTGGGAGGAAACTGGAGTACCTGGAGAAAATCCACGCATGCACAGAGAGAACATGCAAACCCTACCCAGAAAGGCCCCTGGCCGGGATTTAAATTGGAGGTGACGTGCCCGCAGAGAGGCGGCAGCTCTACCAACTGTGCCACCGTGCTGCCCAATCACTGCAATAAAGCAGTTTCTCCAACCCCCTCTGAGACTTCTACACCTGTCCACAGGTGTTCTGGCCCACTCTTCATGAGCAAACTGCTTCGGTTATCTCAGGTTTGAAAGGTTCCTTCTGGGGACTGTCGTGTTTCAGCTCCTTTCATGGATGTTCAACAGGATTATTATCAGGGCTCTGAAGGCCACTTCAGAATAGTTCAATGTTTTGTTCCTATTTGGGGGTATTTTTAGTTGTGGGTTTTGTTTCATAATCAGATTGTATGACGCTTGACCTAGACAGAGCTTTCTGACACTGGGCAAAAAAACCTTTTCTCCAAAATGTCTTGAAAGTCTTGAGGTTTCAAAGTAACCTGCACAGAAACCCTGAACTAAATCAAGACATAACCAGGTCTTCTCCATGTTTCACGTAGAAACAGGGTTCTGTTCTGCTTGTTTAAATTTTGGCGGTCTGTGAACGTAGAGCTGTGTGACATGTTGCTTTTGTCTCAATTTTCTAAAAGACATTCTAGAGAGTTTGTGACATATCGATATGCATTTAGCCAAATCCCTGTCGTGCATTTTGATGGTTTACTTCTGACAGAGATGTCCTTCTTGTTTGTCTTCCAATAAGTATGCTTCGGCTCAGTGACCAGTGGTGCGATCTAACACTGATATACTGTGATCTTGAAAAGCACTTGGTTTTATCTGTAATATTGGTCTTTACATATTGTTATCAGGTTTCCTCTTGCAGCCACATTCAGGAAGGTTTTCTACAGTCTTGTCAACCTTAACCCTTTGAATAGTCTGTGCAAGTGCAGTCAAAGGAACATCAAGCTATATGGGGATGGTCATAACATTTACTTTTAACATGCTTGTCAATATATTTTTTTTCTAAGTGCCTGGGACAAGTTTATACTTAGCTTTCTAGGATCTATTTTCTGTGTGTACTACACACTATGATACCAAACAGCTCAGTGACTACGTTTTACCCTTTAAATGGGCAGACTGGCTGGATAAGACTGATGACACCTGTTGTACTAATTACAAGACATCCCTTAGTTTAGCATGCCCATAAAGTCAGAACATTTCCTTAGCTGTATTATCCTTTGCTGTCCAGGCCAGCATTTTTTTTTTAACAATTTGTTTGAACCAGTTTGCATGTTCTCTCCGTGCATGCGTGGATTTTCTCCGGGTACTCCGGTTTCCTCCCACAGACCAAAAACACGCACGTTAGGCTGATTGGTAACTCTAAATTGTCCCTAGGTGTGAGTGAGAGAGTGAATGGTTGTTTATCTCGTTTGTCTCTATGTGGCCCTGTGATGGACTTGCGACCTGTCCAGGGTGTACCCCGCCCCTCGCACAGTGATTGCTGGACATGGGCACCAGCGACCCCCGTGACACAAAATGGAATAAACGGGTAAAGATAATGGATGGATGGATGGATGGAATTTGTTTGAACCATAATTCAAAATCTATATCTGATTTTCATTGGTTGATTTTAATTATTTTTACTATATTGGCTTTTGTCAGTCGGTCTGGGACTCTTAGATATTTTTTCAACAAAAGGGTACAAACTACTTGCAACCTGTCCAGGGTGCACCCCACCTCTCACACTGTGACTTCTGGATGTGGGCACCAGTGACTCGTGACCCAAAATGGAAAAAGCAAGTAAAGGTAATGGATGTATGTATGTGCTGGTATGTGCTGGTATGTACCAGTGCATACATATGTACTGGTATGTACGTATGTACCGGTATGTACGTAAGTATGTATGAATGCATATATGTATGGATGAATGGATGGAATGAAGGTTGGATGGGTACAGTTAAAATGATATGCATGAGAATAATCATCTGTGAAATGTTCAATAGGACGTCAAAGTTTCAACAGAAATTGAAAAGGTTTGAAAATCTGGTACGACATAAATCTTTTGATCATGCACATGTACAAACTGCACACCTTGTAGTACTGAATACTTCCCAGGAATAAAATGCAGCATTGCTGTTATTTTGGAGGCCATGTGTAACTTCTAATGAACAATGACTTGTCTACATTGTTGTCACAATTTGAAAAGTTGTCTGGTAAAATGTGAATTGTAAAAAAATATATATTTGTTCTCTTGTATATTTTTGATTTCTGAGCTGGTCACCAGTGTTTTTAATCATTGCTGTGTGGAGATGTTTTAAATGTGATAGTTATTTATTATTGAAGACTTTCTTGCTCTAAGCTGTAACCAAAATGGGATAGTCTCACATGTAACTCTATAGACTTCCAACATAAACTGTCATTGTAGTGGCTGTCAATGGAAATCTTTCTCTTTTATTGTCAAAGTGCATTGTTTCTCTGTACAGAATGTTTAAAAAAATGCAGTATAATTGTTTAAAAAAATTAACATTATTCCCTTTGATCTTTGTATAGCAGTGTGTGTATTATTAAGTATTGAAAATTGTATGCAAATAGACTGGTTGTGTATGATTGTAAAGTAAATGTTAAAAAAAAAAAAAAAAAAAAAAAAAATCCCTCCGGCACAAGAAATAGTTTTTGATAAACTTGTCAAAGAACAAAAACAACTCACTTTGTTTCAGTCTTGTTTCTTTATTTTTTCCTCCCTCTAATGTGAATGAAGACAAAAAGCTGAGCTCTGCAGAGTAATTGTTGTCCGCCTTTTGAAAAAG